AAGAGCCTTTCAGTGGAAATTAAAAGTCCACAGTGTTTTGTTTGGACCTCGTGTTTGAGGGGTATTGGGGTTTTTGGGGCAGGCAGCAAAGCTCCCACGGGAAACATCCCTATGGCTGGAAGAGAAGATAGGCATCTCTCTCCAGGCCATCCCAGGAGGCTTTTCCTGCCTGTGAAGAAGGAAACCACATGGAATTAATCTTGCTGAAGCCAGGAAAGAGGTCTTCACTGAACTCAGAGGTGGTGCAGCAGCAAAGATGGAGGGAAAAGGCAACACAGGGATGGAGAACACACCAACAACCCCATCACTGCAAGGTTCATCCTCATAGCAAGGAGGACACGGAGTGACATGGTCACGTCAGTGATGCAATGGGCCCAAGAGAGCTGGAGCCAGGAGAATCACACTTTCATGAGCAGCAGGACCCCTTGAAGATGAAAAGGTCAAGGCGAGCTGAGTGGAGCAAGAAGGGCTGGTCCCCATCACTGCACCGAGCTGCACGTCCTCAGCCAGAGGAGCAGCCACCCCCTGTGAGATCAAACCACCTGCTTTAAACATCTCCTGTCTACATTAAAGGGTTCCTTCCACCTTTAATTGCAGCAGGAAAACAAACTCAGCACCGTGTCTCAAACACGAGAACAGCTTTAATAGCACTGGGAGCCTGCCAGGATGCTCTAGTGGGGAACAAGAGTGGCATTTCCAGGCCCTCCAGAACCAATCCTTACTTGAGATTAAGATAAAAACCCATTTCCTGAAACCCAGCACAAGCCAAACTGCTGATGTTCCTAGAGTTGGGAATTCTGTTGGTTCTCAAGCTATACTAGGAGTGAATGAGCCTTCACACACCCCATAAACACATGAGCCTTCACACATGCCTCTGCTTCATTCTTAAGACCCTTCTGGGGTGAAGCAGAGCCAGCACAGTGGGTGAGGAGCTACCTGCATCCCCTCAGGAAGAGTCCGGCCATGGCAGCATCTCTACCAAAGAGAGCTGCAAGTGGGATTTCCCACTCGTGGCTGCTGGTCACACTGGTTTGGACTGGGCATGGTGCTGAGCTTGCTGCCTGCTGTGATTTTAGCACTGTATCCTGCTCGGCTGGTTTGAGCCCTATGCTGGACAGGGAACACACCTTAATCCTCACGGGGTCAGGCTGGTATGGTCTGTAATCTGGAGGGAGGGGGAGGATGATGGTTTTGGGCTCTCAGCGAGCATGAGGGCTTCAGCAGAGGGTTTGGGAGCATGTGCTTCTCCAAACCCAGACAGGATCACACCCATCCAAAATGGATGGAGACACAGTGCTGAAACCTCATCTTCATTTTGGGCTTGGGGTTTTATTTCGGCAGTTTAGTCACGGCACATTTGGAGCCACCACGGTCACTGTGGATGCTCACTCCAGCCCAAAGCACCTCATCTTCGTGGGGTGGTACCTACATTCACCTCTTCTTCCTCCTCCACCTATTAGCACCAACATGCCTGTGCACAGGCAGAATGATGATTTTAAGTCATCTGGCCCATTCAGAGCTGAGTGTTTCTTCCTAATAACACCTTGTCCTGAGAAAGTTGCTATTAAGATCCCTGGTACACGACAGATGGGATCCTGCCTCTTCATCACATTGAGTGAGCTTGGTCAGCCTTGAGATTGGGAGCTCATTTCAGCTTTTGTCCCCAATTTCAGCCTGTTTCTAACCATAATGGAGCAAGACTTGATGCCCCAGTGCTCCCCAGGAGCCCCACTAATCGGCCAGAGCCCATCTGGGTTGTTCCTCCCTCACCCATCCTGTACCACCACTCTGTCAAGGAAAGTTTTATAGTCTCCCTAAGCTGATAATTACACCTTATTTATTACCCTGCATGTGTAATTGCAGGCAGGAGGTTTTAAGAGCCATGTCAGCCTAATTACTTGCAATAGGACAAGCATCAAACCAGTTATCAAGTCCCGCTTGGGTTTACATGAGGGTTTATTTGCTTTAGGCATGTAGCTGTAACAGCAGAGCAGGAGCATCCAATTCAGTTCCCTCCCAAGGACCTGCATTCCCCATCCCACTTGGAAGAAGGGCAGGAGATTAGTTTGGACCAGCAAAAAATTCTTTTAAAGCTTCTAAATGCAACAGAAATCCCCTTTTATCCTTTCTTCTTCCCAAAATAGAGGTGTTTGCTTGCTGGAAGACTTCATAACTAGCAGTGCAAGAGCAATGCACCCCATAAAACTGCTCTTTCACTTGTGGTCCTCCTGCCCACGTTCCCCCCAGCTTTTCATTAAATGTGCTGCCCTATAAATATCTGCCTCACTGAGGCGTGCTGGATGCCTCCTCCATAGAGAGCAATAAAGCCACGGATGGGCTCAGCTTCCCCCAAGCTCCTTCATCCTCACCAGTGGGTCGGTTTCACCTCCAAAACAAAGCCAACACAGGCAGGAATGGGCAGGAACGGGCAGTGCCTCGTGGCTCAATGGAGCCAGGCACCTGTTTGCACCTCCTAAACATGAAAGGTCAGCTTGAAAGGACTCCATGGGGGAAACATTTCCCTCCCACTCTTTGCAATAAGGCACGTGCCTGCAAGAAGGGAGCCACAAAACGACCCCAAAACCTCTCGGCAAGCACCCATGGAGCGTCAAACCTGCATGAAGCCAGCAGCTTGGTGCTGCTTGAGGAGGAGATGTTGGGTGACGCGCACGTGCAAACCCTCAGGAAGCAGCTCGCTGGGGTTGTTTGCAAGCTCCAGAGCTGGGATGAAATAAGGGCAGGCAGGGATCCATGAACACAGAGCAGTTTCTGCAGAGCAGCTTGTCAGCTGCCAGATCTGAGGTTTAAAAAGAGAAGGGAGAACTCCCCTGACCAGATTGACTCCAGCCATGAAACCACGAGCCTCCAGACATCTACGTGTGTGTGTATAAATATAGCTCTCTCTATACACGTCCTGTGATGGTTTACCATGGCTGATCTCCTACCTGATAGCACGGGGCAGAACCTGCATTGCTATGAGGCACTTCTGCCTCCTGAAAAATCCCATTCTTGCAGCATAAACCAAGGTTTATTTAGCAACACACAGGGGAGTCACCCAGGCTGTCATTGCAATGGGGACAGGCAGGTCCTTGCACTTGTCCCCAACACCAGGTGGAGAGGATACCTCAGCTACCTCTCTCCTTCCTCCCCACAGACAACATAGCAATGAGTGGGTGCTTTGCCAAAGCCTATGCAAGTATCTTCCCTGCTGCTGGCACAGCTGTGGCAGCTCCATAGAGACCTCCAGAAGGTTGCAAAAACCCCAAGAAGCTTTGAAAGACCCCACATGGCTTGCAAAGAGCAAACCTGGTTTCCAAAAACCCCAAGAAGATGGCAAAGACCTCATCTTCCTTCCACATTAATGTCTCAAACACAGAGACCAGTGCAGTGGAGGGGAAATGGGCTCTGGCAGCCCCTTCCCCACACAGTCCAGCAGCTCTCCTCCAATTTTGCCCCAAAACAGGGCATTCCCCTCTTCTTTGTTTCACTGTGTGCTCCCAAGGAGGTGCAGGTGAGCTCAAGCCTGGCTGCTCCCTTTGGGAACTCAGGGCCACCCAAAACACCTTAGGACCACCCAAAAATCCCCAGAGCATCCATGGTTTCAATCCCATTTTGCCAGCAGTTAACACTTGCTCCACAGGTTTCCTTCTACCTGGCAAGCTCCAAGGGGTTCTACCCATGCTAGCACCATCACACCATCCAGGCCAGGGGGATATAAATACACTTACATAGGATGTATAAAACAACCCCCCAGTCATGCTGCTTTAGAAGTCACAGTGACCTTGGGGTCTCTCTGTAAGATAGGAGGGATTTGGGGTTGTTTTTGAAGGAAAGGAGTTCAATACCATGTGTTTTCCTCACTGACAACTGAAAGACTAAACCAGAGAAATCAGGAAGTGAAAATGGTCAAAAAACAAGCTGCTTTTTGCTCATTTTCTTCCCAACTGATGGGTTTACACCTTGATTTCCCAGCCCACAGGTCCCAAGAGAGCTCAGGGAGGTGAGGCCCCCCCAGCCCATGCAATGACAGCTTCTCTCTCTGCTTTGGGGTGAAAAGAGGGAAAATAAGGCTCATAGAGTGCTGGAAACAGAGCCTGCTTGTGCAAACATGATGTGGGTTTCATTTGGTTCTTTCTCTGTTTCAATGATTTCTCTTCCTGGTTCCTTTTTCACCAGTGTTTTTTACTACTGGTGGTTTAAATAGGCAGTAAATAGATAAATCATGATGCTTCTCAAAAGAAGGAATGTTTTCCAGCTAGATCATGGTGTCTAAACCAGGTACACAGCAGTGGTGCTGCTCTGACCATGATGTTCCATGAAAGGCACAGAGGTTTCTATCTTCTTCTATAGAAGAATAGAAGGTTAATAGAAGGTTTCTATCTTCTTCTATTCCTCAGGGAGAACAGGATGGCCTTGAATAACACACACACACACACACACCATTGCCCAAACCCCCATTTTCACATGCAGAAACACAGCAAAACTGCCTCTTTTTGTGCTTAGCAACACAAAGTCCTCATTCACATTTGTTCAGGTCATGGCAAACACCCTCCAAAACCAACCAAACCCAATAAAGTAGGATCTGCTTCAGCTGGGAAAAGGGGTTTGAGTTTCTTTCCTACACTCCAGCCACGGAGGGAAGAGAGCACTAAAAGGAAGAGGGAAGAGAAGCCCAAAAGGGATATAAATAGGGAACATCACCCTGAACATTTCTGCTCCTCACTAATTGCCTGTGGCTTTCCAAATCTGGGGCAGAAGTTTGGGGTTTAAAATGAATATTTAGCTTGATGTTAATATATAATGCAAAGGCCTGCGTGGGCAGCAATTGCTCCTGACGTGTGGAAAACCACCTCTGATTTCCCCACCTCAGCAAGTGCTTCCCTACTTCCCTTTGCAAATAAGCAGGGAAAAAATCAAAAGGAGCGTCCTGCTCTAGCCTAAGGGCTGGAAAATTGTGTTTCTTTCTTCCCAAGAGCAGCCAGAGCTTTTCCCTAAAGTGTATACAAAGAATGGATAACCCACAGGTGCAAACACCAGCCAAAGCACCGCAAAATCACCTCCGTGTTGGGCTGCTCGTCCCTGTTTGGGGTCAGGGAGATGCTGGAGGGGAGCTGGGGACAGCTGGGGGAGCTGCTTGCATAGAGCTGGGAGCTGGTTGGGCTTGGCTGCCTTCCCCCTCCATCCCTTCCCTCCCCTTGGAGATCATTTTCATGGGGCTTTAGAGGGTCCAATCCAACTGCTTCCCTCCTTCGGAGCATGGTGGGGGCTGCAGAGTTGTCATTCCAAACTCTGCAGGCTACCCAAGCAGCTTGATTTGCTCCAGGGTCACTTGAGGAGGAGGAGGGAGGCGTTGCCAAGGGGGAAGGAGAAGCAGCTGGGTGCTGCTGGGGGGCTCAGTGCCACGCAGAGCGGGTGGGAAAGGGTGCGTATGCCCATCACCGGGGTGTCTGGGCGGCTGCACGGGGAGATGCCGGGAGACCGCACGCTCCGGCTGCAGCACGGGAACCGCATCGAGGCCCTGTGTGTGCTGGGCACCTGCATCTCAGCTGATGTCTATGGGTGAGTGGCACACCCCAACTCCCCTGTGCTCCTCCATCTCTGCACCCCACCTTCCTGCTTGCCTTCACCCCCCATTTATCCCTCTGCAAATCCCCCCTCCTCATTTTTCCTTCTGCTTCCCCAAACTCCACAGCCCCAACACTGTGATTTAATGCATTTTATGGGCAAAATCCTCCCTGGGCTTTGCAAAGCTGGACAAGACCCAGGAAAGCTTCAAGCATCAGTGTTTGCATGATACAGCACTTATCTGATGGTGATGGGTCTGAGCCATTTCTGGTCAACTGATCCAGTGTCATCTTGGAAAGCTGCTGCAACAGGAGCTACTGGGATGGGCTGCAGAGGAGGAGATGCAGGAGGGAGAGGGGAGGGAAACAAGATGTAGTTAGTGACCAAGCAGCATCCCCACACCACCAACCCTGCTCCCCTAAACCAAACCCTGTACCTCCAGATATATTTCCCACTCTCCAAAGGAAACGGTTTAAAAGCTCATTTCATGGTTGATTCTGGTCTTTGCTGCTTTTGCAAAGCTTACCCTCAATATTCAAGCCAAGCAGCACAGTTACAACTCACTTGGCACCTCTCCAGGTGAATTCTCCTCCCAGTGGGATTCCCAAAACCCAGAAACAAGGAAACCAAACCAGTTTTTCCATGCATAATTAAATGTAATTTAATAACTTCAGAAACACCCAGGCAGCAGCAAAGGAGCACAGATTTCCTCTCCCCACTCCCAGCGCAGGTTTGGGGGGGGTTCTGTTGGCATCCAGAAACCCAATAAAGGATGCTGTAACAGTGATACAGTGTTAGCCCTTGGGTGTTGGGTTCAAAGGGAGCCTGAACCTCATGAGCCACAAATAACAACCCTGGAAAGATGGGGACATTAGGGAAAAGGAGCCGGGAGAGGGGAAAGAGATGCGCAGGGCAAGGGCACATTGGACTGGGAGTGGTGCAGCTCCTGCTTCAGGGTTGACCAAAATCACCCCCACAATTAGAGTTTCCCATGGTGAAGTCCCAGCTGGCTTGTCCCGCTGTTAGGATGAGCTGTTGAATCTTGGGTTTGCCTCAGCTGGAAAATAAACATGGATTTCTCCACTGAAGTATAAACCCAAGGTCAGTGCCAGCAGCTCTGAGTGCTTTGGGCCGGGGTTATTATAGATTGTAATCTGCACCCATGGCTACAAAATAGCCTCATTTTGTTAAAATAGCATGTTCTGTCCTAAAAAGCAAAAGTATAAAGACACTTGAAGCATTCCCAGGCAGGGAGAAAGGGCAGGAAGGTGCCAGCGGGGAGCGTGGCGACGCCAGCGTGCCTGGTCTTGGTTGTGTTCTGGGCAGTGGAATTAATTGCAGTGAGAACCAGGTGATTTTGGTGCAAAGCACTTAAACCAGAGGGGTTTTGGCAGGGCGGCCCCAGCCGGGGCAGTCTCCTTCAGTGTGAAGCACACGGAGGGGGTGAGCGTGGAGGTGAAATGCCAGAGCCCAGCGGAGGTCGGGTCAGCCCCTGGCAGTGGGATGCGGTGGCCGCTGGACAAGGGGACGGTGCTGAGGTTCAGCATGAGCCAGGCCAGCACTGAGGTCAATGATAACAAGGTGAGAAGTGGGGTGTTGGGGCATGGGATCTCCACAGAGGGAGAACTTCCTTCCCAAACCAGGGATTTGGGGGTTTGCAGGTAACAGTCAGCTTTTACGCAGAGGGAGGGCAGCCCATCAACCAAGCTGGGGTCTTCCTTACTGGCATTGGTGAGTACAAAGGCTTCTGTGGAGCAATCCATCTTCACCCCCTTGATCCCTTGGAGGAAGGTGCTGTGATGTGGAGGCGGAGATGGACCCAAGTTTACTGGATCTGGGGAGCTCTTGCACCCACCCAACCTTGCTGTACCCTGGGATGAGGGTGAGTTCTCTCCATCCAGGGATCTCTCTGGACGTCGATGCCGATCGGGATGGCGTGGTGGAGAAGAACAGCCCCAACAAGGTAACTCAGCCTCTTGCACTGCATGGGAAGTCCATGGGCTTGCAGAGCCTGAGCTTACTAAGGCCCAGCGGGGTGTTTCAGGCAAGCTGGACCTGGGGTCCTGAGGGCCATGGGGCCATCCTACTCGTCAGCTGTGACAAGGAGAACCCCTTCACTGTGGCGTCAGACTGTGATGATGAAAGGGTGTTCAGCAGAGAAGGTAACTATAACGTTCTATGTACATATATATATAAAGAAGATATCATAGGAAGCAAAAAATGCTATGCTATTCCCCCTTTTGAACCCTTTTGGAGGTGAAATCTTGCTTGGAAACCAGCTGTCCATGAGCTGCTCTCTAGCAAGCTGCTGAGTAAGCTTCCCGCATGGGAATTCTCCTTGTTTAATGTCATCCAAACTAATTGCGGTCAAGCAGGGCACGAAACCCAGCCAGAAGCACAGCAGAGGTGCCACTGACAGCAGAGCTTGGCCCAGGGATGCTTCACACGGGTGAAAGGAGCTTGGGGCAAGGCATGAGGCAGGAACACACCCAGGTTCCTGGAGAACTCCAACCACCCGGAGCCAGTGCCCATCACCTTTTTGAGGCCAAGGACTGGCTGTGCCAGGGCTGTGAGGGGAGGGAAAGGGGCACTTGTTTCAAAGCACAAGCCCCAGGCTTTGTTAGCAGCTTGCTGTTCCAGCTTGCAAAGGCTGGTAGCAAGGGAAGAGCTTGGTAGAGGAGAGGCAAAGCCCAGGAGGGAGGGTGCAGACCAACCAGAGCTGCATGGTGCAACCACCCACCACCCAGGTCCCTCTTCTTTGCACCCAGATTTGCTGGACATGTCTCAGATGGTGCTGAGGACTGAAGGGCCCCAGCGCCTGCCCCGAGGGTATGAAATCATTCTCTATATTCCTGTCTCCGAAGCTGATAAAGTTGGGGTCTTTCATGTGCAGAGTAAGTCCTTCCTCAGCTCCTCCTCTGTCCCTTCCTCCTTGCTTGTCGTGCTTTTGAGATTCCTGCAAGCTCTTTGCTTTCCATCTCTGCCCTTGTCCTCTTCAAATGGCACTTCTGAAGGCCTCTGCATCCCTTTCCCAGTTTTTTTCCAGTGCTGAATATTCTCTTCTCTACCATACGGAAAACAGGAGATGAGCAAGCAGAGGCCCAGAGCCATAAAGCCGTTTATCAAGCCCATCCAGCACAGGAATAGCAGAAAAAGCCATGTGTCCTGACACCCAGATGTTTTATTACGATCACAACACAGTCTACAGCACATTTCCCCTGCTTGTTCCTTGCTGTGGGCACAGCGATTTATTTCCTGTGACCAAAACCCTCATCCAGCCCAGAAACATGGGTCTTCTCCCTCCATGCAGAGGTAGTCCTTCAGCAGGAGGGGTGGTGGCATTGTCAGTGGGGGCTGAAACAGCAGAAACCCCATGAAAACACCTTCCCAGCAACTGCTCCATCCAAGGAAAGGCTGAGACACTTCTTCCTCACCCTTCTGATGCATGACTGCCAAACTGAAAGCCCCTTCAGGTTTTAAGGTGCTTCCTCCAGGTGAAGTTGTATCCACCCATAGAGGCAGAGAAGCTCCAGCACAGAGGGATGGCGGTACCTCCTTGCACACACTTGAAACCACCACAGAAACATTGGAGGTTGCCACCATCCCCTTTCTCCTCTTGCAGACCCCTTCTTCGGGCAGCGGTACGTGCAGGTGCTGGGCCGCAGGAAGCTCTACCACACGGTGCAGTACACTGGTGGGGCTGCTGAGCTCGACTTCTTTGTCGAGGGGCTCCGCTTTCCTGATGACACCTTTCCTGGGCTGGTCTCCATCCATGTCAGCCTCCTGGAGACGCTGGCTGAGGTCTGGGGGCTCCAGGGAAAGGGTGAAGGTGGGAGGCTGCAACAGGGGCATGGAAAAGGGGATGGGGATCAAATGGAGAATGGTCCCCACTAATTTACCCCAAAAATGACCTCAGGGATTGGGTATTAGTATGAGATGTCCGTGCCCATGGCAGGCGGGTTGAAACTAGATGATCTTAAGGTCCTTTCCAACCCTAACTATCCTATGATTCTATTCTATGATTCTATTTAGGGGAAATAGTGGGAAACAGGGTATGAAAGCTCCCCAGTTTCTGCTTGCCTCCCCCAGGGTATCCCTCATGCACCAATCTTCACTGACACAGTCATGTTCAGGGTAGCACCGTGGATCATGACCCCCAACACTCTGGCACCGGTGAATGTCTTTGTCTGCAGGTAAAGGCCAAGGGAAAAGTGGGGAGGCGATGGGCAGGGGAAAAGGCAGCTTCATCCTCATCCTTCCTGCCATCCACTTTCCCAGCATGAAGGACAACTACCTCTTCATCAAGGAGATAAAAAACCTGGTGAACAAGGCTGGCTGCGAGCTGAAGGTTTGCTTTGGATACATCAATCGTGGGGACCGCTGGATGCAGGTAGGTGGGCACTAGAGTGGGGACAAAGCTTTCCCACCTTGCTGATGTGCCCCACGCAGGTTTTCCTCCCTTTTTTAGGATGAGATTGAGTTTGGCTACACCCATGCTCCCCACAAAAGCTTCCCAGTGGTGCTGGACTCCCCTCAAGATGGAGGGCTGGAGCGATTCCCCATCAAGGATCTACTGGTAAGAGCAGGACAGTTGTTTGTATTCCCTGAGCAGCAGCTGAGCCTATTCCACCACTCCTAAAACCCTGCTTGAGCTTGGCTCCTTGGAGGGCCTACAGTGAATTTGTTTGAAACATGAGATTTTAACACCTCTGCATGGAGATACCACCCCACCCACTTCCAGCTGGGAGGATGCCAACAGCCTCAACCCCTCAAACCAAGATCAGAGCCCTTTTATCCAGAAGGTGCTGCATGAGAGGGAAAAGGAGGCTCTCATGCCTCTGGGAATGAAAGATTCCTCCAGGCCCCAGGAGAAGAGTGGATTTCTTCACCCTAAGTATCCCAGCAACGGGCTGGTTTTAACTTTTCTCCTCTATGCCTGTGAATGTGCAGCAGCTCCCAAGCAGGAGAGGAAGGGAAAACACGAGAGGGGTCAATTTACTTCCCTGAAAGAGAACAAGATGCAGGCAGCTTCCAAACACATCCCTGTGGGGCTGCTTCGCCAAGGCAAAGGGCCAGCCATGGGCAGAGTGTGCAAAGAAAGCTCTCTGAGAAAGCAGTGAGCATTCAGGAAGAGCCCAGGAAAGACAACAGGGAAAAATGATGGATTGAATGATCCCTTTGGGATACCACCATGCAGAAAGGGCAGAGCATCCTCAGATTGCTGCCACATAGACCCAGCCAGGCAGCAGCAGTAAGGGGAGAAGAGGGCAGCTCACTTTGTGCTGCACACCACTTTGGGGCAGGTGAAGAGCTTTCCAAAGCATCGAAATACCTCATTTCTCACCCCTAAAATGAGTACACCCAGTCCCAGATCCATCAAGCAGAATGGGAATGACACACTGATCCCCTCCTATCCATCCTCGTTAGGAATTGCTTTGCTTCATATTTAGCAAGCAATTTCAGCCTCTGGAGCTGCTAACACTATACTCCAATTGCTGCTCTGAAGGCTTCTCTAATCCCCACTCTTCTCTTTCCTATCTCATTTTCCAGTTAGGAATATTTAGCCAGACATGACACATACTGGTCCTGTCCTCACCCCAGCCAAGCCCAAAGCCAGTGGAACCCTATGCCAGGGAAAAGGAGATGAGAGGGAATTAGCCCCTCAAACTCAGTCTGGAACTGATAGGACTTGGATGTGACCCACAAAGCTGGGATGAACCAGGACCTTGACAGTTGGAACCGTACCAGCTCCGTTGTTTATTACACTGATATAAGCTCAGAGCTTGTGTTTCATGCTCAGTCCCCCCTACAGCACCCAGGGAAAGGATTTAATCCTCAGCCACGCACCCCAAAAATGCACAGGAGGTCTTGGAGAAAGGCAACCCTGGTGCACTTTCCCAATCCCAGCTTCTCAAACACATTTGAATAACAAAAAGCAACTTCTATATCACCTTCAGCTCTCTCTGCTCATTTTTAGGGATCTGCGTATCTGTTTTACCCCACAGAAACCCAACACGGGCAAGTGATTGGGACTTAATGCAAACCCAGCAGACACCTGATCTCATCCCAAGGCTGCTGTGAGCTCCAAACCCATACTGACTTGATCCAGAGATCAAGGACAGGTTCAAGGCAGGATTTTTGTCCCACCTCTGTTATTTTCACCCTGTTTTTAGCATTGCAATCTGCCCCTTGGGCATTCCAGCACATCACCACAAGGGTTCATTACCCTTGCATGCACAGTGCCTTAAACCCCAGATATATTAAGTCCTGAAAATCAGGGCTTAAGTAGGATTTAAGTGAAGTGCAGCCCTGATGCCTGGGGTGGATTTCCCCTACGGGGCTGAAGTTCCTCTAGCTCAACAAGAGCCACCCAGAAACTCAGCTTCAGGGCTAGCCCAGCACCTAATTAGCTTAATGCAGACACTTAAAACATTGGCTTTGGGACAGCAGAGACCTGTCCCAGCTCTGCCCCCGGCATTTGCCACTTATCACTGAGCCCAGGCAACCCAGAGACCGCTATCCTCTCACCTTTCCTCTATTCTTTGCCTTGTCTCTGACATTTTCTTCCCTCTCCCCATCCATGGACAGGCTTCTCTCTTCATGGTTTGTACCTACTGGAGTAGGTCTGACCCCAGCAGGAGGGAAAAAGCTAAAGACATGGAGGCAGGGGGGGACCCAGGGCAAAGCTCACAATGATTTCTCTTCCTGCAGGGCCCTGACTTTGGCTACGTGAGCAGAGAGCCCCTCTTTGAAGCCATCACCAGCCTCGACTCCTTTGGCAACCTGGAGGTCAGCCCACCCGTGACCGTGGCAGGGAAGGAGTATCCCCTGGGAAGGATCCTCATTGGCAGCAGCTTCCCCACGTAAGAGCTGGGAAACCATTTGGGAGCAAAGGAGCCACAGGTACCTCCTAAACATCCTCAAAATCATGTTAATGGGCTGAATTAGCTATTCCCTGGTGAGCTGCACATGTGGGTCTCTGTGGGATGGGTGTACTCAACAACCAGTGCTCAATCTCTGCCATCATATTGCACATTCCTTTCTCTTCTCCACCTCGACAGTGATTTATGTGTACATACATATTTATTCCCCTTATCCCTTTCTCTTGGGGATATTCCCGCCCCCCAGCTCTGCAGGGAGGAGAATGACCAGGGTAGTGCGGGATTTCCTCTGTGCCCAGCAAGTGCAGGCTCCCGTGGAGCTCTACTCAGACTGGTTGGCTGTGGGTCACGTCGATGAGTTCGTCACTTTTGTGCCCACCTCTGACAAAAAGGTACCCCAAAACCCCCACACCACCCTCTGCTGTCTCTTCTGAGATACTAATCCCATTGGGACACCTCTAAGGAAAACCCCAAAGCGCGTTTCTTTGATAGACCCAGCCAGTATTTGCTTGGGGATTCACTCCTCTCCCCAAAACTGAGGGTTCTGAAAGTCAAAAGGGACTTGCTGAGATAATAATCAACACAAAGAGGAGAAAAAGGCACCTGCAAAGGCAGTCCAAGAAGTTTAAAGCTCAGGATCCACATGGGCTGGCCAAGGCTCTCAGCTGCTCAGCACCTCCCAGGTGTTCTCAGAAGCTCTTTTCTTTGTCGCTGGTTTTAGTGTTTCTGATACAAGAATTTTCCACCTAAGGAAAAAAACCCACCTTGACCTGGATGGTTCAGAAAGGGAGTATTTATACACACATCCACCCCCCAACCTTCCATGCAAGCTTTTAGCCCTCCCCAGGACTGTACTAAGCCCCCATAAGAGATGCCATCAAGACTACAGTAAGCAGCTTCTAGTGCTCCACTTAGGAGACCGTTTCCACTGGTAGGAAGCAAGTCAGGTCACACATGCCACTCAGACCCTACAAATCCATCATTCCTATGGGATTAGCTTAATAACGACTGTTGGCTTCTCCTGAGGAAGTCAGAGCCTGATTAGTCATTTGTTCCATCCTCCCCCCTGAATTGCAATGCCAGAAACAAGACACAAAACCCAGCTTAAGAACAGCGGTGCTCCTCACCCTCAATCTCAGCTCACCCAAACCCCCATCGAACACACTTTGGGGGTTTATAAACCCCACTTGAGGTGGGCAGGATTGGACCCAGCTGCAGCCAGGCTGCAGTTTTCCTCCCTGCCCCAGCAGCATTTTAACCCCTCAGGGTGTGATCTGGTCCATATTTGCCAACAGCATAAATCACTGAACCTCATTGAGATATATCCTCTCACCATGCATTAAAAAAGACCCTGAATAACACCAGAGACACCCGATTTTAAGAGTCTGAGCTCAGGTTCCTTGCAGAAATAAGCCCCTGAGGTCCCCAGATCAAAGCCAGTTTTGGTGACTGCTCTCCCTCCCCTCTTTCATCCTTGACCCCAGCGGTTCCGGATGCTGATGGCCAGCCCTGCAGCGTGCTACAAGCTCTTTCGGGAGAAGCAGAAGGAAGGCCAGGGTGAAGCCACCATGTTCAAAGGCAAGGGGACAACGGGTGGCTTTGGCCAAGCTTTGGTGTCAGCTGAGACAGCCGGAGCCTCCCCATAGAGCAGCCAGGCTGAGGGCGGCAGCGCCTGTCTGACTGCGGGTACTGGGGGACATGGGGACCTTTTCCCACCCCATTGTCCTTCAGTGCTGGCAAGCGGGATGCCTGCCCACCATTCCCAGCCTCCTCAAGCCCTATTTTGGGAAAGCAAGTGGGATGGGAGGGATAAAGCCCTCTGCATGGAGGGGATGCTTGCTTGGTGGGATGGAGCATCTGTAAATGCCAGCACGGAGCAGGATAAGCACTCCCATGTCACTTGTCCTGCCCTCCCTGCAGCAATGACATTTTGGTCACCAGTTTGAGCACTGTTTAATTGTGGGTTTGAACATCCTCCACCTGCAGTGGTGTGGGGAGAAGGTCTCCATACCTCCATGGGTCGCTGCCATCCCCAAACAAGGAGCACCTCCTTGGAGGTGGCAGCTCCGAATGGAGCTGAATGGAGAACTTTTGCAGACCATGATTCCTGTGGGAGGAAAGGAACTTTCCAATGCACTTTCCAACAGGCAAAGGTTTTCTTCACACCCAGCTTTCCAATAAACTAAGAGCTGGGACCCCAAGCTCAGGAAATAGGGATTTTGGGGACTTTTCCCATCTCTGTTCACCATCTGAAGCCAGGATTCTGCTACCACCACTTCATTTGAAGGGAGTTTGCCTTTGTAGGGTACTCGGGGACAGACACAAAACGAGTCACCATTAACAAGGTCCTTTCCAACAACGTTCTGATGCAGCAGAACCAGTACGTCCAGGTAAGAACTGATATTTCTGGTAAGAATTGCAGTTTCTTGCAATAACTGTCCCAGGGGGGTGCAAACCCTTAAGGGAGGTGTTGAATTCTGGCTCTCCTCCTGTGGCAAGACGCTTTGGGGACCATATCTACCTGTGTCCCCCCTCTCCATCCCCTCCAGCGCTGCATCGACTGGAACAGGGATGTCCTCAAGAAGGAGCTGGGGCTGCTGGAGGAGGACATCATCGACCTGCCGGCCCTCTTCAAGCTTGACAAGCAGGGCAAAGCCGTGCCGTACTTCCCCAACATGGTGAGCAGGGGGGGCCCGCTCCCTGGGTCCTCTCCAAAACCCAGCTTTTCAGTCAGGGTGAATCATAGAATGGTTTGGGTTGGAAGGGACCTTAAGATCATCCAGTTCCAACCCCCTGCCATGGGCAGGGACACCTCACACTAAACCATGGCACCCAAGGCTCTGTCCAACCTGGCCTTGAACACTGCCAGGAATGGAGCATTCACAACCTCCCTGGGCAACCCATTCCAGTGCCTCACCACCCTAACAGGAAAGAATTTCCTCCTTATATCCAATCTAACTTCCCCTGTTTCAGTTTTAACCCATTACCCCTTGTCCTGTCACTGCAGTCCCTAACGAAGAGTCCCTCCCCAGCATCCCTATAGGCCAAATTTGTCCCCATAAAGCACAATATTGACACCTGCCTGGAAAGAGAAAACATCCTCAGCCAGGCCCAGATGAGTTCAAATCCGCTTGTGGTGGGGTTAAACTGTCATTTTGGGGCAAAAAGAGGGGAAATCACACGGCATGGGGTGAGTTTAAAGATAAAAAAATGGGAAAAGAACATTGGGTTTGGAATCCTGGGGGAAGAGCGCTGTGGATTCCCCATTTTGGGGTGAGGGTGATGAGCACCTTCCCTTCCGCTTCATCAGCCCCAGCGCCACCGGGGCCCCTCTCATGTCACCCCCACAGGTCACCATGATCGTCCTGGCCAAGGACCTGGGCATCCCCAAACCCTTCGGCCCCATAATGGGGGGTGAGTGCTGCCTGGAGCAACAAACCCGTTGCCTCCTGGAGCCGCTGGGGCTGCGCTGCCGCTTCCTCGAGGACGTGTGCTCCTACCACGGCAGGCTCGGGGAGGTGCGCTGCGGCACCAACGTCCAGCGCCGGCCCTTCGCCTTCAAATGGTGGCACGTAACGCCATAACCGCGCTGCCGCCTCCTCCTGCTCCTTCTTCCACCCCGAATGGCTTCTTCCGTGTGTGTGTTGCTTGCAATCCAGTTAATAAATGAATTTGCTGTGAGGAAAGAGGTGGGAAGTTAAAGAGTAATGGGGGAGAACTGTAAGGGGAAGGGAGGGAAGCCCTCAGGGATGGGGAGGCAGGGGGATGCCATCTTGGCCCCTGGTGCCCGCCATTTTGCCCTCTGCATGGCATTGGGGTAGGTGGGAGGGTCTGGGCACCTCCCCTGCAAGCAGAATGAGACTGGGAATGAATGGGAGGACTCACTGTTTTCCCACTTCCCAAAAAAACAGGTGGGATCTGGGAATCTAGACCTCATAGCAGCCTTCCAGTATCTGAAGGGGGCCTATAGGGGTGTTGGGGATGGACTCTTCATTAGGGACTGAAGTGACAGGACAAGGGGTAATGGGTTAAAACTGAAACAGGGGAAGTTTACATTGGATATAAGGAGGAAATTCTTTATTGTAAGGGTGGTGAGGCACTGGAATGGGTTGCCCAGGGAGGCTGTGAATGCTCCATCCCTGGCAGTGCTCAAGACCAGGTTGGACAAAGCCTTGGGTGCTATGGTTTAGTGTGAAGTGTCCCTGCCCATGGCAGGGGGTTGGCACTGTATGATCTTAAGGTCCTTTCCAACCCAAACCGTTCTATGATTCTATAATCCCGGCCCCGCCGTGTACCACAGGGCGCGCCACGCTCAACATGGCGCCTCCCCTCAGGCCGCCGCCGCTCCCAAGATGGCGGCGGGCAGCGCCCGGCCCCTCCTTCCCCGTCAGCGGGAGGACGGGAACTTCCTTCCGGTTCGGAGCTGCGCAACGCCAAGATGGCGGCGGCCGTGGTGGGAGTCTCCTTGAGGCGCGGCGTCCCCGCGCGGCTGCTGCGGGCCGGGCCGCGGCCGGTGAGGGGTCGGGAGCTGCCGTGCGCAGGGCAGCGGGTGGGGGGACCTCGGTGGGGGCGAGAGGATAGGGGCTGAGGGCTTGGGGGGAAAGAGAAGGGCCTGGGGAGCAGGAGGGGGTGCAGGGGGGTCTGGGGAGGAGCTGGGGGGCAGGAGGCGGTGCAGGGGGGTCTGGGGAGGAGCTGGGGGGCAGGAGGCGGTGCAGGGGGGTCTGGGGAGGAGCTGGGGGGCAGGAGGGGGTACAGGGGGCTCGCTGGGGGCAGGAGGGGTGCAAGGGAGAGCTGGGGGGCAGGAGGGGGTGCAGGGGGGTCTGGGGAGGAGCTGGGGGGCAGGAGGGGTTGCAGAGGGGCCTGGGGAGGAGCTGGGGGGCAGGAGGGGTGCAGGGGGGTCTGGGGAGGAGCTGGGGGGCAGGAGGGGTACAGGGGGGTCGCTGGGGGGCAGGAGGGGGTCCAGAGGGGTCTGGGGAGGAGCTGGGGGGTGCAGGGGGCTCGCTGGGCGTGTGAGGGGTCACAGAGGGGCCTGTGGAGCAGGAGGGAGTCCAGCATGGAGTACAGGGTGGGAAGAGGGTTCAGAGTGGGTAGGAGAAGGGGGGGGGGGAGCTTTGGGAAAGAGGGTGTGTTGGGAATGTTGGGGAAGGTCTGGGAGCAAAATAGAGTGGGAGAGGGGTTGGGAAAGGGTTATGGGGAGATGGAGGTTGTCAGGAAATGGGGGATCTGTGGGAGGCCCAGAAGGGGGTTGGGAAGAGATGTGGGAGCAGGAGGAACAGGGATGAGGGGTAATCTGGGGAGAGGTAAATAGGGGCAGGTGGCCTGGTGTGGGAATGCTGTGAGGAGGTGCTTTGTGAGCCTGGAGCTGGGTAGGGAAGTGACTGGGAGCTTCTGAGGGCAGTTTTGGGGCAGGAAGGAATGCCTGCAGGCACTTTGCTTTAGCACTGTCTCCTCTCCCTCGTGAAGGAGGCAGCTGCGTGTGCTAGGATCCAGTGCTGCAGCAAAGCCTTGCGAGGACATCCCATAAACTGCCCAAACGCAACGCAGCGATGGCTCCTGCAGCTCTCACCCCAACCGCGTGGCCTCGGGTCCTTTTGGTTCTGGCTAAAAGCCACCCCAAGGGACCTCAGGGCTGCTTTGCTCGTTGAACACAGGTGTGCCGGGGAGCGCAGACGGCAGCCGCGGCATCGCCCCGTCTCAAGAAGTTTGCCATCTACAGATGGGATCCCGATAAGCCTGGGGACAAGCCCCGCATGCAGACCTATGAAGTGGATTTGAATAAGTGAGTGTGGCCCGTTAGCAAGAAGCTTTGCTGCCAGGCAAACGTGCTGGGGCTGCCTGGGCACGCAGGTACCTGACAAGTGATAACGGAGCAGTGCTTGAGCTGGCAGCTAAAGGTGTCAGCAGTCTCATTAAGCTTAAACTGTGTTGGAGTGGCCAGGAAGGTAGTGCCTCAGCTTGTGTTACAGGGCACCTTGTCCTCAGCACAGTTGAGATCATCGCTGCTTCCTCATAAATCTTACTAGCATCATGTGAGATGATTGCCCCTGCCTCATCTGTCAGTGCTGGGTGTGATGAATTCAGCTGTGCCCTGAAGGCCAGTGTCTCAGTAGCTGTCAGCACTTTGTTTTGTCACTTCTATGAGGGTTTTGCTGTGTTCCTGAGTTGTTTTGAAGGCTTGAAGGTGTTTGTGGCTTTGTTAAGCTTTCTTTACATGGAAAATCTTGGGGCGTGTTCCATAGGTTTACGTATAGCTGGCAATCCCAAACCTGCAGATAAGATGGAAGCTTCATCCAACTCTTCACATAGTTTTCTTCCCACTTAGTTACTTCTGATACATAGATCACATTGAACTTGTAGTAAAGACCTGCACGCCTTGGTGTAGCTGTCACCCGGAAAGCTCTTCTCTGTGGCCCTATGAAGGGGTACAGTCTCATCTGTGGTGCAGAAACCTTCACATGGGCACGTGTGCCTTGATTTCCCTGCGCTCCAGTTGCTGCTGTGCCTTTGCCAGAGGGATTCCCCTTGAGTCCTTTCTGAAAGCTCCACATACAGAGCCACCCAGCTCCCTCCTTAAGAAGCACATGGTGGAGAACTCAAATTTTGGGGTAACTTGCATCAGTTAATCATTTGTTGGGGGTGCCTTCTCTGCTCTATCACATAAGTTGTCCAGGAGTGTGCTTCTGTGCACAGCACTGCCTCTTGTGACCAACAAGGACAGGCAGACTTGTTCAAACCTGACCCAAAAGGACAGGACTGGTAGAGAGGTGCTTGCTTTCTAGCTGGGCCGTGTGCATTGGCAAGAGAAAGGGCTTCTTTCCCACCAGAGGCACATGGGCATGTGCTGATCAAGGGATTTCTGTCTTGGCGCCTGGGATTGGAAGAGCAAGTGTGGTTTTAATTGTAGTTGATAAAAGTGTTGCTTAGTTGGTGCCAGAGATCTACCACTGAGGTGGGGAGGGGGAGTTATGCAGCCTCACTGACTCTGTTTTCTGCTGCAGATGTGGACCTATGGTGCTCGATGCTCTCATCAAGATCAAAAATGAGATAGACTCCACTCTGACCTTCCGCAGGTCGTGTAGGGAAGGTAAGAAGGATTTTCCCCCTGCTACACTGGAGCTTGTCCTCTCTTTGTTGTGACAGCACCCCTGTAACCACTAGAAAAGTCCAGGGCAGATGGCAGTGTGCTGCTGGTCTCTTCAGCTGCTGTGTACAAAGCCCCCAGTGAATCAAGTAGTAAAGTTAAAGCTCATCTTTGTAGGGTGTAATCACACAACACTGAGCCATGAGCAATGTGTTTAGACAGCCCCAGTCCTTCCAGTTTGTCCTAATCTTGTTCATCTCACTGCCCTCCAGTGATGGACTGCATTGGGAATTCCAGCCAGGGAGATGACAGCAGCAGGATTGAGGGGGCAGACATGAGTGGGAATGAATCCTAGGGGCTGCTGAGGCAATAAGGAAGGGTGTAACTGGAAGAGTACTTAGGACTTCTAGGAATAGCTTCAGGAATCTTTTTTTGGCCCTTTGACTAAGCGAAAGAACTGATGGAGGAAGAGGCCATCTGGTGGTTTTCCATGGCAGAGCTGGTCCTCAAGCAGGTACCAGTCAACATGTCTGCATAAACTGCATTGAAACTTGCCTGTAAAAACTACCCCGATTCATGGGTAATGTTGGGAAGCTCAGCTTAAAATGCTAGCTGAGAAAGTGCAAGAAGGGAGGATTCCTTTACGGCTTGACTTCTGATTTAATTAGGTGGGGTTGGGAGTATGAGAAATTGAGGTGCAGTTGATGCCTTAAGATGTTTTGACTTGGATCTCAATGAAAAGCTGCTTTAAAGCAGCAGTTTCCTGTGGAATCTGCATAGCAGGTGGAGGAATTCCATGCACTGTGGTTGTTCCCAGAGTCTGATGTTGAGATAGTCACCAGCTGACTTGCCCTGAATACTTTACTTTGAGAACCTGAAGACAGATTTTCAAGCTGGGCTGGTTCAGTCTTGCCCCTTTTCTGCCATGCGGGGTTAAGAAAACCACCTGATCCCACATTCCTGTTGCATACTTGTGGGGCTGTGTCTGCAATCCCAATTCTCTCTCCAGTTGACTGGAAAAATACTTGTAAGCATCTCTCGAGTGGGAGGAATAACCTTGTTCAAGTGCCAGCCTTTAGCTGGCAGCGAGGGAAGGCCAGTGTGTCTGAGGCTCATCAGGGTGAGGAGCAGTGGCATTTCTCTGACTCATATCAATTGATATGTGGCAAATCCCCTGAAATTAGAATTTTGCCCTTTCGACATTTGTCTTTCTTCTAATATGATGATTTCGGCATTGATCGGAATTGGACACCCGAGCTCCTGACCTGAGCAGTATCTGTGACAGTTCTGGGCTGCTGCTTTTTTTTCTTGTAAACCTTGGCCTTTCCTGGGCTTCATCTGATCCTTCTGTTACTGGGACATCATTATTGGTGTCATTTAATCCATTTGTTAAGCTATTTATATGCTGTTTGTTCTGATGAGTGCCTGTCCTCTCACCTCTGAGAGTTAATAAATACAGTTTATGACACTGCTCTACCCTGCTACAGAAGGCACAGAGAGAAG